TCATCGCCGTTTTAGTCTAAAAGGAAATGTGGCGGATCACGGGTAAAAATGCAACCAATTAATAAGATGGCTAACGCCAATCATAAACTTTTTAAGAAATGATCTGCTGCATGCTGATAAAGAAAGATTGGAGAGGGGTTAACGTTCTGATTGACTTGAAATGTCCCAAAAAAGGAAAGGAATATAGTTCTGTTGATACGTACGTACGTACGACATAAGGAATGCTTTGTGACTAATACAGTACTAGAACATTCTAATTGACCGGCTACAATAAACCTTAGAAGAAATTAAGGAAAGAAATATGTCAAATAAACTTTTTCTATGGCAAAAGTATAGAAATAAGGATTCTGAGCTAAGATTAGTACAATTAAACTTTCCTATTCTCATTGAATTTTATTCAGTCCTGTTATTTACGTACAGTGCTAATACAGTATAGTTATTTCTGACAATCTGCTTGACTGATAGAATTAATATTGAAATGGTTAGAAAAAATCTTCAGTGTGGCAATTTTTATAATTTAGCTTACTGATTTCAATTTGCAAATTCCAACATTTTGCTATAATACCTACAGTTATTAATATAAAATTTGAAACTACAGCATTTTGTAAAGCATAATTTTCTATTTTATCATATAAATTTAAATATACAATATTAATTACCAAAATTATTCTATTTATAAAGTAAATTTTAAAGGGTTTAACAATATTTCTATTTATTTATCATTATACCTATTTTTTCATAGATTATGCTCTGTAAATTAGGTAAAAGTTTTTTTTATTGTAGTTTTTTCTTTAAGCCTATAAATATAGATTTTTTATAACCATAATGATAATCATACAAGAATATACTAATAATTAAATAATTCGAATACAAATTTTCTTAAAATAATATAAAAATAAACATAAATCTAATAAAAGATATAAAGGATAAAAAAATATGAATCTAAAAAATAGAAATATTATTCTTTTTACAAAATTCCATAGCTTCCAAATGATTATTTTGAGCAGCCTCTCTAATATATTTTATACCTAATTCTTCATCTTTAACTCCAGTAAGACCAGCATAAAAAATATTTCCGGCATTATACATACCAACAGCAAGTCCATTATCAGCAGCTTTTTGAAAATATTTCGCAGCTTCAGAAAAATTTCTATCAACGCCTGTTCCTTGAAATGAACATAATCCGTATTTTAATTGGGCGTCAGGTACTTCATCACCTGAATCAGCAACTTCTTTAAATAATTGAGCTGCACGTTTCGCTCTCTCTTTATCAGTATAGGGTGTATTTACTAGCTTCTTATAAAGGTAATAACCAAGAAAGTATTTTGCTTTTAAATTTCCTGTAATTTATTAAGAAAATTAATAAGAAAAATTAAATGTGAATAATTAAATATATAGTAAGTAAACAAAAAACAAATAATTTATAAAGTACCTGTTTGTGCATATGCATTGAAACATTTGTAAGCCATTTCTAAGTTTCCGTTAGTAACGCGATGAGCCAATGTGGCTTCTTTCATTGTCATATAATTAAATTCAGCAAAGTTAATAACCTCAGAAATTTTAATATTATCATCATCATCATCAGGAGTAAGCGGCATGCGTGGAATTTCTTTTTCCTTAGTTTCACAGGAGACATCACTAGGAATATTCATAATAGGTGTCAAAGGTCTAAGTGCAAGGAAATTAGCTTGAAGTTTTTCAAGTGTTTTGAACATTTCTGTTATAGTTGGTCTAAAATCTGGATCGGCACCAACAGCTGTAATTTATATAATTGTACGTTAAAATAAAATGGTTTAAAATATAATAATTTAAACGAATAATAATAAAATTTCAAACCTTTCATAGAAATTTCTTTATAATCTTTTGGCAAATTTGAAAAGTTTGTAAATGGCTCTCTATATTTTTCCTTATCCACTCTATTTTTAATTTCCATAATATCATCAAGATGTTTATATGGAATTTTTTGTTCAGCTAATTCCCATAAAAGAATACCAAAGCTAATTATTACAAATCGGTAATTATAGTTAAAAATAATGAAAAAAGATAAAGTAGAAATTTGTTAGTAAGCTAAAAAGTTTTTTAATACCTATAAACTTCACATTTAGTATTATATTTGTTAGTATTTCTATATAGCATTTCAGGAGCAGAGTAACGAACAGTTTGTAGTGATACTGCCAATCTCCTTGATTCATCCCGAAAGTACCTACTAAGTGAAAAGTTAGCGATTTTTGCAGTTTCATTCGCTGTTATCAAGATATTTTCCGGTCGAATGTCTCGGTGAACTATCTATATGATTATTTTATTTAAATATAACTTTTAGCTCAATAATACTGAATTATATAAAATAAAATAGCATAAATAATAAATATAGAATACCTCTACGGCTCGTAAAAAGTTTAATCCTCGAGCAATATCAACTGCAATATTTATTTTTGTCCTAGCGTCAATAGGACTCCCTTTATAATTCGCATAAAATTCTCGTAAATTACCACATTCACACCATTCAGTCACTAAGTAACGCCTTTCACCATCAGAAATAAGGCCATAAAATTGAATTATTTGATGACAATCTTTAAGCCTCATAAGAATAGCAACATGACTACGTATATCAATTTTGACATCTGTAGTGTCTGACTCATCAGCTACGAGTTTAAAAGCAACAGCTTCATCATCAATTAAGCGAATGTATTTTCTGACTTTTTTTACACGCACTTCACCAGTTTCTCTAAAGTCAGCTAGTTTAAGTGGTTGATTTTGAATCTCAATCGCTTGTTGGATTTGATCTTGATTAGTTTTTGAATCCAAAATGAGGCTCTTGATTACGCTTATCTCTTTAACTGTTTTACTTATATTATTATCCATGTCAGTGATACCGCCTCCAATTCTTAAAAGATACTAATATTTTTATTATAAACGTTAAAATGCTAAACAATAGAATATTTTACTATTTAATTTATAAAAACAATAAATGAAGAATAAGGCACCTGATTAAGTTCTTCGATATCTTTATGTATGATCTCGGTTTCACGTTCAGTACGTGCTGCACGGGATTGTGTGTCAACTGCGATAGAGAATTTCAACGTATTTATATATCCATCAAATTCATTTGTCAAGTCAAAGAATGTACTCTTAATAGATTTCGCATGAATATATTTCGATAATCCTTTTAATTGTGTCACTTCTCCAATAAATTTTTTTATCTTTTGTATATTATCTGAAAGCTTTTGCATGACTACAAAATTTTCTTGATTAAAAAATTTTTTATTATCATCTTTATGTATTTTTAATAAACGAATTGATGTTTCAACTGATGCAATTCTATCAACTAATACACGACTAATGCGTTTATTATGTTCTGCTGATTGATATATTAATGTTATTTCGTCAGTAACGCACACTATATCACCTATTATTGGTACGAATTTAGAGAATGGGATTGCTATTACGCTTGCTGCTTCATAGACTTCAACTATTTGTGAGGCTTTACTAGTTTTACCCCCTCCATCACTATCGCAATTTGACATTATACAGGATTTAGAATGAATGGCTAAAAATTGTATGCCGACTAATTTATACTTTTTGATTTAATAGCGATTATTCCCTACTTTGTAAAATTTGTGTACTCACATTGTCGCACACTTTGATTACGTATATGATATACGTAACGTATCGTTAATTTTTTTTACACATATTTGTTATACGAAAAAAATTTAATATTAATAAATAAAAAAGAGCCTCTTCCGTAGTAAATTTGCCTAATAAAAGCAAACATTTACCTACACAATTTCAATCTTTTTTTTTCCTTTGTATTGTATATATCAAATAAAATCTTGCTTATGCTCGTTCATTCGTTCAATTGAACCTTTGAGCTAAACTTGCGTTGATGATTACATTATCGTTACGGTGATACAAGGAGTGGAAATGACGTATATAATTTTTGCTAATTCTTAAAATCGACCTGCATAAATTAATTAATTTTTTCCTGATAGATC